CTTTCGAAACTCTTCTCAACTCAATTCAATTCAATTCGTCAATTCAGAAAAATTTTACCAATTCAACTCAACACAATTCATCAACTCAAAAAAGCATCTTGAACTCAACTCTTCCAACTCAAAAAAATGAGTTGAGTTGAATTGAGTTGGCCGATTTTTGAATTGAGTTGCCCAGCTCTGCTTGTGTGACGAATACGTATTTAACTCTCAACATTCATTTTTTTTCTTTGGTTGTTATCAATTCTTGTATCACGCAAATGGATTTATCATCTGATGCTCATGTTGACGTCAAAATGAGTTCCGCGAAATCAGCTAGCACACCGAAAGCAAAAATTGGTCGACAGGATGAAGGTGAAAATGCTGGCAAAACGTCTACTATATGTGTTTTATGCAATGAAGTAATTTGGCATTTGAAAAATGCTACATCTAATTATAGTCGTCATTTACAACGTAGACACCCTGCTGACTTTCAACAATGGACAGCCAATACATCTAAGCACAAAACATCAGATAACAAAATGCATCAAAGCACCTTGAATGCTAGCTTATCTCCTATATCTCAAACGGCAAAGTATGGATTAGGTCACCCTCGTCAAATCGAATTATGCAAAATGATCTTTAACAATCTTATCATCGGTTTGGATTTACCATTGTCTATTACTGAAAAATCAGCCTTTATTCAAGTGATAGCAATAGTTGATCCGAAATTTCGGATTCCATCTCGTCGAGCAATCACAACTGATTACCTGTCAAAAGCATATGATCAAATTATGATGAAATTGAAAAAGACATGCTCTTTGGTCGAATATGTAGTCTTAACTTTTGATGCTTGGAGCGATAGGCGCATAAGATCTTTCTATGGTGTTATAGTTCATTATGTAAACCAAACCGGTGAAATAAAAGCACATTTACTTGCTTTCAACCCTCTTTCTGGTAAGATCTTCCATTTGATCTTTGAGTGCGTAATAATAGAAAAGAAAAGCGAACTGCGGAAAGGTTATTGAGGATATATTTTTATTCAACACTTCCAATGCATTACTTTGATAAAGAAGCAAAGAAAGAAACAGTTGGTTTATCTTCGATCACCTCGATAATAAACTCACAAGACGTTATGTGTAGTCAGAAAGCATAGGTTAGCCAAATAGATAACTTGAGTCATTACGTGCATTTAGATGAATCCATCAATGAAAATGTGAATAAGTCGAATAAAATTTGGCTTATCCAAATGGAAAATGGTCATCTGATTTCCCACTGGATTGTGATTGAAATTAGAACCATTCTGAATTTGAATTTACATTGTACCTCATAGGTAAACATGCTGGTGAGAATTTGCACGACCTTTTCAATTACAAACAAAGCTGTTCGGCTTATTACGGACAACGCATCGAATAACTTATCTGCCTTTGGTGATTTAGTCATTCCAGGTTTCGAATAATATTTTGTATCTGAAGATGATGTCGAAGAAACGGATGACGACGCAGATGAAACAAATGTGAACATGTCTAAAGGACATTGTCCTAATGATGAAAATATTCTGAATGAATTTGAAAAAGGAGAAGAATTGTTGCGTCTGCCTTGTTTCATCCATACTCTTCAGTTGGACGTTAAAGATGGTCTAGCTGAGACTACTTGTGCTCGATCAGCAGTGACTAAAGTGGCTAAAATTACAAAATTAAGTCGTACGAGTGTTTCAGTAGCGGAAAAGCTGCAGGAAGTTAATCATACCATTCCGCTAGCTGTTATAACGAGATGGAATTCTCAATGTACCACTATTTCACGAATTCTTGATATACCAAGTGTTTTAGTTAATGAAATTCTAATGTATCAGAAAAAAAGATGAATTAATATTATCGATGAAAGATTTACATGTTTTACGAGAATTTATTTCAATCTTCACTTCATTTGCTGAAGCTACTACAAAAACACAAGCTGAACAATCCATATCAATATCACTTGTAGTATTAAGTGTACTTGGAATTTATTTCGATCTTGAAAATGAATCGAAAGTATGCAAGTATTCTGGCTCATTGTGCACTATGCTTATATATTCGTTAAAACGAAGGTTTGGTGGTCTTTTATTAAGCCTTGAAGTACCTGTCGATGATTCCATCAAACGTCGAAGCACGTTTTATCTATTCTCCGATGATATTTTTCTTATTTGCAGTTTTCTGGCCGGTAAATTTCGACTTCGGTCGATCTTAAAATTGGCTTTACCAGAAGAAACGAAGTAAGTTTAACAACTATTCTTAGATATTTGTATCTTCTTGCTTGTTTGTTAATATACAAGAAATATGATATTAACAACAAACTTGATGTATTTTTTTATTTAGGAATCGTTTATGCGAGAAAATTAAGCGACTTGTTGTTCAAGCTGCTATTCAAGTTTGTCACTCGATGAACAATGAACTAGGTGATAATGCTCCACAAGTCGAATCAATGTCAATAGGCAGTGATAATAGACAATCTGATGGGAAAGATTCTACCATTGACAGTCCAACAACCGAAAGAAAAAGTTTATTTTCCTATTTTGAAGCAACATCGGTGCCTCAAACAAAAAAGCGTATTGATATCATCCAGGAGATCAACGAAGAAATCATGGTGATCTTGGAAGGTCCGCATTTACATCAATTGGCTTTACGAATACCATGTGTTCCGGCCACGTCTGCACCATCGGAACGTATTTTCTCGAAAAGTAGTATCTTAATGAGACTACATAGAAGTCGATTATCAAAAGATATTTTAGCGAAATTAACTTTAGTGAAGTGTAATCTTGATCTATTCCACTGAACATGTAGTGTTCTTATGAAAGTTTCTTGATAAAATAAAACTTTCTCGACTGATAAACAAAGATTACGAACTTTTACTAAATAAAACTCTTTTTATTTATTACTCACAAAAATTCAATATTACTTGTTCGAAGCCGTCGATTTGTTATGCGGAGTTGAATTGAAATTAGTATGGAGTTAGAGTTGACTACACCCAGAGTTGCCCATCTCTGATAAAAACAAACTGTTCTTTGTAAATTGTAGGGCTTCTCACGATCGGTGTAAAGCTAGTACCATTTACCTAGCACCAGATAACGAAAAATCATCAAAATCTTATGTTCAAATGAATTCCCGTGCGTAGAAATAGGATCATGCGACGCAGAATTTAATTCTACATCGAATGGTGTTGTTTTATCGACCGGAAAACGACTGAGAACATTTTATACAGATTTTTCTGTACGCTTGTGTCTGGAAGGAAAAAAAATCTAAATAGAATCTTCTCAGGCGTTTTCCGGTCGATAAAACAACACCATTCGATGTAGAATTAAATTCTGCGTCGCATGATCCTATTTCTACGCACGGGNAAAGTTGCATTTTACTTATATATATGTATATACTCACTTAATAATGGTAATCTCTTTTATTTGTCTTTGTAAATTTAGAAACTTTAACAGTTGATCGATTGCATGTTGTATGGGAAATGAAGAGAAATGGTACCCACATTGAAAATATTTTGAGCGACTTTGCAGTAAAGGAAATCAGGTGCTCATCATGTAGTCGTGTTGGATATTCAAATTCAGTTTTGTACGATACACCGAGGTTTTTAATTTTGAAAACTCGAGGAAATGTCGACGAATGCATTAATTTGGTTCACCGTACAAATAGACTGATGATCAAGCCGACTTGTTATCATCGTAATATTGAATATAATGCACAAACTGTTATTATGGTTCTTGAAGAAGATTACATTGTTTATTTAAGAAAAAATCCGAATGGTTATTCATTTTATAACGAAACCACCAAACAATCTGAATTGCTGAAGGAAGTGACTGCCGAGAATACCGGTTTGTCATGTAGATGGATGGTGTTTGTTTATGAAACCGTAGATATCGTATTTCCACTGTTTCCTATGCAAAAAACTACTCGACATCAAACTGATCTACCTCCTAGTGTAGGACCGGAAGATTATGTAGACGAAGTTGTCAATGATCTTCTACCTATTTATGAAAATGGATTTCTTGCTGGATCTATTCATGTCAAATTAGACGATATGACTGTTTTGTTAAGCCCGAATGGAGACATTAACGATCTGATTATTGATGCACATCTATCCATCACAGCATCCAGTACTGCTTCGAATAATAAGGTTTTAGCCGTACCGAGCTATCTAATCAGACAAATCATTTTGAAAAAACTTAGGACTATACCAATAAGCTGGTTGAATTTTGACATATTACTCTGTCCCATTAATCAGAATAATCACTGGTACATAATAATAATAGATCGAAAAAAGAATCTGATTCTAGAATTAGATTCTTCAGTCAAACATGATATACCACGCTTGACAAATATGAAACGTATACTACACGTATGACATCGACAACATTTTCTAAAGACGCACAAAGGAATTCATTACGCTTGACAATGAACCTACAATGCAACAAACCGACAGTCATTCATGTGGCATTTACCTTCTATTACAAGCTGAAGCTTACGTGAAAAATTTCAAATTCCTTCAAATGTAAGGGGACCAACTTCAACAATATCGATACCGAATTGCCGAAGCATTATTACGCAAAGGGGAGCCCAACAAGAACAGCTCATCATCGGGTTCCGTAAGTACCTTCATCATTCGATCACACGTCATCCATCATGTATTCTCTCTCTACAGCTACTAGAAGAAATACCCGACTCAAACAGAAGCAAGAATTTCCGCAAAAGCAAACAGCAAGAACATTTTTAGTGCGATTTCTTATGCTATCTACTCATGCCGTTTTTTCCCATAATAAAGAAGGTTTAAATCATTAAAATCTACGACTACTTATTTCTCCAACATCACACCCTCAGCTCTCCAGAACGTTTCCCCATTGATGGGCACAGCTGCATTTGATTCAGCAGTCGATCTTGTATCGATTGCAACACTTTCAGAGCACCGGAAAACGTCTCATCAAGAAAAATTTGACGACTATTGTGTCCGGCTTTGGTTGGTCCACATGATCAAAGAGAGAACGCCGCTCTCCAGAACGTTTTCCCGTGCTTCCCAATAGCAGCATTAGATTCAAAATTTTACTCTGGATTCGAACACATTCGATATTTTTTCGGCAACTGGATTCATTCTATATAATTTGTAGTCACAGTGCGGTGGCTGAATGGTGCTAGTTTTGATTCGTGAAGAAAGCTTGTTTGGTTGCTACGGAGTCCATAGTCCAATGTATGATCTTCATTATGGTGTTTTTGGTATTGGTGTCATTTGATTGATGTATTCTGAAACCAATCGATTTGAGTCTTAAATGGTGCTAGCTTCACATCGATTCCATAAATGGACGTGTTCATTTTATTGAATTTCTCAATAAATATGTGAGATCGATATTTGATTCTTTTTTTGTTTTAATATAATAATAATAATTCATCAAACAGCGACATCTTTAAACTAAAAAAATATTTGCTTGTTTTTGTTTCCATAGTTCATGTAAATGAAGTTGAAAATCTCAATAATATTCATAAAAAAATGGAAAATTCTACTGTCATTAGTAATCAACAAAAACAAAGTCCAATAGAAACACTTCCAAACGAAATAATCTACAACATCTTTAATTTCCTAACTACATTTGATGTTGTTCGAGGTTTTACACTACTTAATCATCGTTTTGATACATTAGTACAATTTCATGTTAAAGAAATCGATCTTACGGATAGTTGGCAAGGAAACCAACAATATTTGCACCGAATCTGTGAGACAATTCAAACATTAAAAATCGATCGGTATCATACTTATTTATTGACGTCTTCGTCTGATCGAACAAATTTTACAGCTGGTCAACGTAATGATAAACATTTATTACAATCTATGATCCGAAAAATCACAACTACAATACAATGTCGTTTGTTTCGTTCAGTTTCAGCAAGTATTTATCGATTTCCCGCACTTCAATCACTTCATCTTGTTAATATATCGAACTGGAACAACATTATATCTGATATGAATTTAGCAAATTTGAATCTTTGGTTCGATGATGATATACATTATTTTAATGATGAAATAAAGATCCCTACAACAATCATTCGATTTACTGCAAATGCTGTGCTGGATGCTCATTGTTTTCATTTGAATTTAATTGATTTGAATGTATATATCTGTTCATTTTCACATCTAATCGAAATTGTTTAACACACACCGAATATTCAGCATTTATCTATTAGTTTTGCTAATCATTTTGCTAATTATGATAGTGTGGAAAACTATCAATCTAATCGTTTTCAGACTATGATCGTTAATTTTTGTTCATTGAATAATTTAAAACATTTATGTATTAGTACAAAACAATCTTATATTATAGAAAGTAATGAATATTTTCCATTTGAACAAATTCAACTCTTTATTGATCAATGTTGTCCAAGACAAACAATACTTAAAACAGTTATTCTAAAATTCGATTGTATTAATTTTTCACAAACTATGTGGTCAACAATTGTTCGATATAAAACTATATTTGATCATTTTCATTTCTATGCTACATTCAGATTGGAAGATAAATTATGGAAAAATACAATTATTTCTTCTCTTGTCAATCAATTTGATTTTTATATCGAAGATGGTGATCCATTACATGCACAGATTCGTTTTATACATGTTTACTCTTTACCGTTTATCTTCAATAAACTTCATGGATTTATTTCTTGTGAAGAACTCAGTACTCGTTCGTCATTTTCATCAGTTCGTCATTTATATATCATACAAACTCGTCTAGCTCGACGCATCTCATTTGCATCATTGATAAATCGAATGCCTCGTCTAATGTCGATTGATTGTAATCTTTTCTTTGCTCATAGTCATAGAATGGACATACCAGAAGTACTTGTAAATCGAGATAATTTCATTTATATTCGTATTTTTCGTTACGTATCACATTGTATGTATCGAGAATGTGATTGTCATGATCTTCTTCCTCAATTTCTCCATCTAATGCCACATTTACAAGATCTTACGACGTCGGAAGAAAATTTTATCGATGGTCAACATTCATTTCCAACTATTAAACGACTTGATTTACGACAGTCTCGATTCGAATTATTCGACAATTTAATACGATATATACCACATTTATCAAAGATTTTTCTTGGTGTCATACCATCCAATTCACGAAATTTGTTTTATCTTCTCAAATCTCTATTTATTCAAATGTCTTCACTAGAACTTGTCTCGTTTAACAACAATGTTCAATGTAATGTTAAAGTGAAATCATACAAATCGGCTCAACAAGTTTTAGTTCTAACAAAACGCATGAATAATCGACTTCGGTATTTAAAATTAGATTATACGTGTGGAATAGTAGCCTTTTATTTACAAAATTTGTAAATAATTATGTTTTTTTTTAGAATGAGAATGTTTTATCTTTCTTCTCGTCAGAACTACATAAGAGCGTGGGTTAAGAGTATAGCCTAACTCACACGCACACTCTCATTCAATTTATGATTATCTCTCAGAAACAATTAGTTATGAAGTGATTCATCGATTGAATAAAAATAAATATCCTTCTTTCACTTCACTGCAGATCAAAGCAAGACACTATCCAAAGAATAATCAAGCAATCTTTAGAATACAAAAGCAAAAGCATTATTTTCATTCTTTTGTTTTGAATGAATAAGAAATACAATGAATTAGAATAAATTCTTCAATAAATATGAAGTCATTATGTGAATTGAGAAATATTCATGAGTTCAATGTAATTCTATAATAATATCGTATATTCGTTAAGATAAGATGGTTTCACTGTTAGATTATGTAGCGCATATTTGCACAGATATTGATTTTTTTCTGTTCATTTTTCTCCGTTTCAATCGAATTTGAAATAAATTTTTGTTATACGTTTGATTACGGAAGTCGTGGAACAAATGTTCTCAACTGTACTTAGAATTACGTAGAATATTCTGTTGGAAATTCCTAGGACATGACTTTCAAGATTATGAGCTAAAAAAGGATTATGAAAAGTACATAATAATCGAATTCAAATTACTTTGCATAATTTCAGCAAGAGAAAAAGTTTACTGTTAGTCATTCAGTCGAGAGTTAAGGAAGTCTGCCTCTAGGAGCGGTACTATAGTAAATAATTAAAATTAGGGGTGGATCATTTGATTTAATTACATGTACCCTGGTAAGATACTCACCTCTAAGACTAATACCATCGTGGTAACCAGTATGGAAAAACTCTTTATTCCAAGGCCCGTTACATCGAATTCTGATTGGTCAATTTCGGCCAATCACCGAGTACCGCTATTTTTTTTTCAAAAACTTATTTTCACTGGAAATCCACCGGGAAGGCCTTATATAAGGATGTTTTTTTGACCTCGGATTGTATTCGGCCTCCAGAGATCGGTATTGGTTGTTAATTTTCTTACAGATCGGCAGCGTTTGACTCCGATTATGGGATATCAACCATGGGCCTTTGAGTTTTCGTTCATGAATCTATATTTGCAGAGTCACGATGGATCTACAATTGCCTCTGAAGCAATAGAAGATCTTTCTTATACGTTAATCACTTAATAAAGTGGAAATTAACGGAAATGGTCCACCCCTACCTCAAAGCGAATTGGAGAATGAAACCAATAGTGAAACGGCATGCTCATGTCAATTTGTTTTAGCCTTCAAGTAAGACTTCATCTACTCTGATGAGCGGACGTTACATTTCGCAGTGATGTAATTGAAAACGAAATAGGAGAAAGATAAGGGATGTTTGCGACTAGGCGCTTGTTTAAATGATTCAGGATAAGTAAAATAAAAGGAAAGGAAATCTCGAAAAGTATCAAGTGATTTGATGCATGAATTAATACAAAGATTTATCTTGTTGAAAGTGAGATGACTAAGCGTCGCCTGTTCTTGAAATAGAGAGTTGGTCACGACGGCAATATCTCACTTGTTGGAAATATCATGAAAATGATGATGAGTTTTTGTCAATAAAAATTAACCCTGAATTTATACGCGTACTTTAATCACGCTCAAATTTACCGTATGATATCATTGTAAAGTCCAGATCATTTTGTTGATGCAAAGTTATATTCTTAAGTTAGTTGTTGAAAGGAGTGTTATATTCTATGTATTTAAGAGTTTCACACTGTGCTTTTTACTGACAGTTACAGAAGAAACTTCACTTGATTTATAAATTGATATTTGTTGTCAATGTATAGTTTTATTCTCTTTTCCGAAAGAGAACTATAGCCTCGTTAAAAATGTTAAAGTTTGTTGGTCCAACCCAATCCGATGAAAGCAGTTTAAGAATCGATGAAAACTTATCGATAATCACCAGAAAATGATTGACTCAAAGATAATGGATGTCGAATAATTCTAATCTGAAATTAGTTGTTGTTTCAGTGATTACTTCTGATCTTTTTCATCTCTTCTACAGAGGAACTCAATTGTTGGTGACATTTAGTATAATATGACTAAAGATCATTGACAGTGTTGAATATGAATTTGGTGTCGACTCATTTGTTCAATTATGACTCACCCTTTGGCTTTTTTGTCTTAAAAGCAACATTTCTGTATGCTTCTTTTTTCAAACTTGCCGGATTTCAATGAACTAGATGGTGACGGAGACAAAATTTTCTTTCGAAGGCGTTCATGTGTTTTGAGTATAAGACATAGTAATTTTATCATGAAAACTGGAATTCAAGTATTCGGTAGAAATGCACGACTCTGGTATTACCTTTGATTTAACGTCTTTGCATCATCAACTACTAAGTATGTGACCTATTGTTAGAATTTTAACTGATATATATGTCGTGCCGAAGTTACTGCGACTGATATAAAAACTTTTTGATGATTTTTAGCAACAGAAACATTTTTTATCTCAGTCGCTGTAGCTTCGGCACGACATATATATGTGTAAAAACAGAGTGACAAATTGTGATTCTACTACTGGATCGATAAAGACAGGAAAAATGAAGATAAAATATTAAACAAGAGGAAAACTACCCTAGTCGGATATTCTCCAATTCTGGTCTGTTATAGAATATTATACCTTCTTTTGAGTTTCTTTGCGCGAGTGGTATTAACATAAATTGCCTTATTTTTTTGGAGATATTCGAAGAAAATTCATTTAGTGGCTTCAGAAATGAACCACACGTTGGTGACAGAGTGAAGGCGCGCCTGAGAACGGTTAGTTCTGAGTGGCCAATCCGAGGGAGGCTGAGGAATTACTAAAAGTTGATTCGAATGAGTTTATCTGTTTTTAACGTTTCTTTAGAAACACTTAATGGATGATCCACGAAAGCGATTCCGTCAGGTGTCTAATTTCCTGAAGAAGAAGAGGAAGGAACGAAGTGTGTTATGAGAAATGTATATTCATGTAAATTGTCTAAGCTTTCGAAGACAATGATCTACTATGACGAGCTTATTTTTTGCACAACATCTTTCCCTTAGTGAAGCGAGAGTAAAGAAATTAGATATATGAACGACCAGTCAGAAGTGGTCGACCAAAGGGCGATGAAACTTTTTTTTTGAGAAACTTATAGCAAAGAAAAGAAGTGTGCATACTATATTTCACAGAAATATCAGGTGATCAGATCCATGGATATCTAGAAACAGTGTTTGTTTTCGCTTTTCTCTTTCAACGTATTATTTGAAGGTACTTTGAAACGATAAACAGATGACAAACACCTTTTAGAAATTCTCATGTATAAATTTTGCTTGGACGCGATTAGCTCCAGGTCTTCTGGGTTTCAGAGTTTACTGAATAGTGTTACATCTCTTTCAGAAAAATGACAGCGAATCCAAAGGACGAGCTTTACTTGTTGGTTACTTGTAAAATTTATTATAGAATTGATGACTATAACGTTCTCTTCAACAATAACGGCGAATGTTTCAACAACTTCATCGACATTCAGTTCGACCACATCACTGACATTCAGTTCGACCTCATCATTGACAACAATAATAACAACAACCATTTCAACAACCATTTCAACAACTTCATCAACAATTGTCTCAACGATAAGAACAATACCTGGTAAGTATGATATATTCAAGACTGTAGTAATTTCCTCTTCTTATGTATTTAATAGATTGTGATATATTCTATCAAGAAAGTTTTTATTCAAATGGTAAAGAACCATATGCAATAGCAATTGGTGATCTAAACAAAGATAAGATATCTGATGTTGTTATTTCATATGCTAATGAAGACAAACTTGAAATAACTCTTCATAGTAGTTATGGAACAATTCTTTCTCGAAGAAAACATAATAATAATGCTCGTGCATTGTCAATTGTATTAGGTGACATTGATTCAGATGGAAAACGTGATATAATTACTGTAAATCTACATGGAAATAAATATTCTATTGGCATGTCGTTATATATAGAAAATAATTCTTTTTCCGTTCCAATATTACATCAATGTCAATGGAATACTTTACGGGCTGTTGCATTGATTGATTTTAATAAAGATGAAAACCTTGATGTTATTGCTGTTTCAGGAGATGCAAGTGGTGTTATTTATTTCCTTCGTAATACAGGTGGTGATCGCTTGACTTGTTATAATAATAATTATTATGTTAGCAACACTCCATTAGCAATAGCAATAGGTAAGATAAATGGTGATGCTTTTGACGATTTTGTTCTTAGTACTGATGGTCATCCTACTTTTTTAACGTTTTTTTACTATCATGGCAATGGTGCATTTTATCAAACTACAGGAAAACAAGTTTCTTTCGCATCTTCAATTACTCTAGGTGATTTAAATAATGATGGATATTTAGATATAATTACCACATCTTTATATCATCGTGAAAGCGGGATTCTTTTTAGTGAAGATTCTCTTTCGTATTCTTCTCATGTTTTGTATGCAATTGATGGATATTCAAAATCATTAGTAATTGCTGATTTAAATGATGATGAAAATTATGATATTATTATTGGATCCGTGGAAACAAATATCATTACGGTTTTCCTTAATTTTGGAAATAGTACACTTCGTCCCCGGAAAACTTACAACGTTAGTAGAACACCAAGAGTTATCGGATTAATTGATGCCAACAATGATCAAAAACCTGATATCATCTATGCAGATGAACGTTCAGAATACGTTGGAGTTCTTTTACGTTGTTAAACGAGAAAACTCTCTATAGACATTGTTTTAAATAATTTTAAGTATCATTAACTAAAAAAGATCTGTATTACGAATTTTTATGAATAAACTTTTCAAGCGTACACCATCCTTTAAAATTATCATCTTAGAGCGAAACATAAAATATCATGTAATTAACGAGTGGCGCTCGCCATACCAATTCACTTAATCTTCGACTATGGAGGGCAGATTTTTTTTTTCGTGTTCCAATTGTGAGACAAATTGATCTAACAATTTCGTACACGAAGAAATAATTCAAATATTTTGTGCAGATATATTTAGTAACTTTCGAAAACAAAATACTGAATTTTTCCTACTCTTTTTGGAGAGGCAATATAAAAACCTCAATTTTATACTACCAATGCAATATGCAATAAGAAGAAACAAACGATGACACAACACAATAAGCACTACGGTCACCTCAATCGAACAACATCACAACCATACACAACAGTCAAAAATATAGATCGTCAAACATTAGTCTTAGCCTGCGCTAAGTCATTGTCACTTTCCAGACATCCTCGCCCTCATCTACATACTTCAGCCCATCCACTTCACTACCACGAGACCACTCGCTATTCCGTTCAGAAATAGGCAACTCTGCGAACAAGCAACTCTAACTCCGATTTATGGATCCAACTGGAATAAACGCTCTACTACAAAAAGAATATTTTTAACATTAATCCAAATTTACTACGAACACCAACAATAATCATCACTTACTCGCAGAAGTTTTATTTCTTTGTCTTAGTCAAATTCCCATGTATTTTATAGGTTTAACTCAATGAATTAGGATAACATTTGACACATGTGATTTTAGCTAATGTATTTTTTTCTTGCACTGCATTTAGCCACGGTAATACATACGATTATTCGTCGTTCTTCTATTACTCCTAAGATCAGTTGCATAAAAGTTGGAAAACCCTAGCCATTTCAACTGCCTTCTGACACCACTCCTACACTGTAAAAAAAAGAGTGTGGGATAATCTACCCTACAAAAGGATTTATTAATATCATGTACCCTTCATCAAGATTTCATAAAACACTTTTTTAGTACATTCCACTTTTAGGTACTCTTTTAGGGTATATGACAGCTCCACAAACCCTTTGCGGGTTTGTTATACGTTGCACTTTCATAAACCCTTGAAAGCTTATAAAAATAATAAACTCTTTGAGGATTGATGAAAAAAGAAATAGTAAACCTTCAAAGGGTTTGTGGAGCTGTCATATACCCTAAAAGAGTATCTAAAAGTGGAATGTACTAAAAAAAGGGTTTTATGACATCTTGGTGAAGGGTACATGATATTAATAAATCCTTTTGTAGGGTAGATTATCCCCCACTCTTTTTTTACAGTGTATAACACAATCTTTTACATTCTTTTTACAAGTATGTGAGTGCTTCTGACGTTGCAAACTGATAAGTTTCTCAGGAAAGTCCGTTGATTGAGAACTAGCGGCAATAAATTTATCAATGAACTCAACACATTTTTCAATTGATTCAGGATCATTTTTGTCATACTATGGTGCATCTTTCAACCAAAGCAAAGCATGAATATACGGTGAACCACGAACTTGAAATTCGGTTAGGACATATTTGTCAACTAGTTCGTATCCCTGGAATGGACCACACGGAGCTGATAAGATTCTCCACAAATATTTTAATCGATGTTGAAAATATCGAACACATGTTACAGGATCAGTTCTTATGAGTTCACATTTCTTTTGGTAGTTTAAATTAGCTGCCTCTTTCAATGTTATTGATTTGTTTTCTAGCATTTGAATCAATATGACAATAAGTTCTGACCATTGTGTTCCTGCTGCTGACAATGTCAAAAATAAGCTTGGACATCAAGCAAAATATTCTCTTTCTATATATTCTTTGTTCTGTAGGTGTAGCGGTTACCGAATTTGGGTTTGAACTCTAAAGAACCAAGCCTAAGCGGAATGTCAATATGTTACCTTTCGGTGCCATCCGCCCGTACGGTGACAAGCACTGAGAGAGGCCATTTTGCTCGCCACGCTTGAGTTTCGGTATTTTAGTGTTAGTGTGGGCCCAGATTCTAAGTTTCCACAACTCTTGATAATGGTTGTAAGATAAATATTACGATGAGCTACGAATCCCGCTAAACTCTGCGTGAACTTGTGAGTTCCTTCATGAGAAATGGGTGAAATCTGCGCTACTGTGGTATGTTTTATAGTACTCCGGGGATATGTCGCAGATTATAGCTGCTAGAGACCGACAAATAGTAA